AGGATTTTTTCCCGACTTTAGGGGAAGAGAATCAACCCCTTGATGCTAAAAGTCGACAAATCACGTGGCAAGCCATGGGAATCCACGCTCATGACCCGCGCACTGCTGAGACTGAGAGAGAAGTCCGACCGATGATAGATTTGCAGTCATTAGCAAATCAACTGCCTGGCCACTTTAGTGACATAAAGACTGTGACAAAATCGCATGTGCACGCGCGCAATGCATTGGAAAGGGTTGAAATACCGAAGAAAAATGATGGTATACCCGCTCCTGTCCAAAGGCCTAAAAGGACGAGAGATCCGGCTTCTCAAATCCCAAGTACTCGGGGACGCCCGATGAAAAAGGATAAGAGAGATTTATTACAGCATGTCATCAAAGTGCCCCAAAGTGAAATGGGGAGCCGGTCAAGACCTGGCACAAGTACGGAAAATTTAGTGCATGAAATTCCGGACGTCAACTTTCCCATAGGGGAAACACCCAGCGGAGATGTGTGGGCACACATCGGCTTGGGAAATCTAAAGGACCTTGCTCCCATAATGGGAAATTTGATAGAGCAAGTGTTTACGCTGGATGCGCTCCATGACGAAATGGCCATAAATTATTTATACGGGGGAGTCCCTGAACCGAATAATGGTGATTGTTGACACTAACTTTGCAACAAAAATTGCCTCAATCATAGATCTTGACCCTGAGCCTAATACGCTCGCTGATTGCAAGAAAAGGTCAGATTGGAAAGATTGGCAGGAGGCACTTACTGCCGAATTATTATCTCTCAACAAAAGGAAGGTGTTCGGACCAGTTTGTCGAACTCCTCCCCTCATACGCCCTGTTGGCCATAGGTGGGTTTTTGTTCGAAAGAGAGATGCAAATAATAAGGTTGTACGGTACAAAGCAAGGCTCGATGCTCAAGGGTTCACGCAATGACTAGGTGTCGATTTTGAGGAGACTTATTCCCCGGTCATGGATGGATTTACCTTTAGATACTTGATCTCAATGGCAGTAAACATGGGCTTGAAAATGAAACTAATGGATGTTGTAACTGCTTACATGTATGGTAACTTAGATTCGAACGTATACATGAAGGTTCCCGAAGGTATCCCTGTTCTGAATCATGATAGAGAAAACATGAGTCTATGTAGTGTTCAACTTCAAAAGGCACTGTACGGACTTAGATAGTCTGGTAAGATGTGGTTTAATCGCCTAAGTGATTTCCTTCATCAGAAGGGCTACACGAGCAATAAAAATTGCCCGTATGTGTTTATACAGCGATCCCAATATGGATTCTGTATAATCTCATTGTACATGGACAATTTGAACATAATCGGTACACCCAAGGATATTGAGGAAGCAAGTTCCTACATGATGTCGGAATTCGAGATGAAGAATTTGGGTAAAACCAACTTCTGTCGATGTCTGCAACTTGAACATTCCCTTGATGGGATTCTAGTGCACTAGTCGGCCTACACCCAGAAGGTGTTGGAAAGATTTGGATTTGACAAGGCATATCCTTCTAAGATCCCGATGGTTGGGAGATCTTTACAGCCAGACAAGGACCCGTTTAGGCCCAAGGAAGAGGGGGAGGAAACTCTAGGACCAGACGTTCCTTACCTGAGTGCAGTTGGAGCACTCATGTACCTCGCAAATTGTACATGGTCAGACATTGCTTTCGGCGTCAGTTTGCTTGCTAGGTACGGTTCTGAACCTACCAAGAGACATTGGAAAGGTGTCAAGGACGTGTTCCTTTACCTGCAACGGACCAAAGATCTTGGCCAGTTTTGTAGAAGGAATCAAGACCTATCTATTATAGGCTATGCTAATGTTGGGTAGCTATAGGACCCGCATGATTGCAAATCACAGACTGGATATGTTTCCCTTTGTGGTGGAACTGCGTTTTCTTGGAAATCTTCCAAGAAAACTCTTGTGTCGACATCCACGAACCACTCGGAAATCATGGCACTATTTGAAGCATCCAAAGAATGTGTATTGCTTCGACGGATGATCGACCATATTCAGCAGACCGTGTGGGCTGAACACCATACAAACCCCTACCATTATCTATGAAGATAATGTTGCTTGTGTTGCACAAGTACAAATGGGTTATGTGAAGAGTAACCTCACAAAGCATATTAGTCCCAAATTTTTCTATGCACATGAGCTGCAGCAGTTGAACGAGGTGAGAATTTGGTATACTAAGTCCTCTGACAATCTTGCTGATATGTTTACTAAATCATTACCGGCATCAACCTTCGAGAGGTGTGTGCGTGAAATCGGTATGATGAGACTTAGAGAGATGCAAGGTTCATGGGGAGAAACTTCACAAACTCGTCGTTAAAATCTCGATCCCGATGATTAAGTACTCAACTTGATGGCTAAGTGGATTGTACTCTTTTTCCCTTGGTGAGGTTTTCTTGTGTTTCTCACATGAGGTTTTTTCCTGATGTTTCTCACATGAGGTTTTTGATGAGGTAATTCGTGCAATACAACAACATATACTATGTGCTCTTTCTCCATGTTTTTCCCACTGGGTTTTTCGGAGTTTTGAGACATGGATATACAAATAATTGCCCAAGGGGGAGTGTTGGGAAACCGGCCCCACCGGGTGTGCGGTGCGAGAGGCCAACGCTGATCGCCCTCTTAGCCTGTTTGGTTTCCACACTTTACGTTAAGTAGGTACTTGGTTTCCACACTTTACTTTAAGTGGGTACTTATCCCTTGACCCCCTACCCCTGTATAAACAGATGAAGAGCAATCATTGTAACAGAGATCATTGATTAATAAAGATAGTCTCCTCGTTACTTCCTTCTGTTCATCTACTTTGTGTTTGACTAACTCTCGCTCCGCAACCTTGGACCGGACTCGCGGGCAAAGTTGCGGAACATGGACAAAAGGTGTCCACGGACGTGACAGAACCGCGCGCACAACGATGTCCACCCAAACAATTTGGGCCCACTTAGACACACCGTGCGCTGAACAACGCAGGCATGACAACCCAAATTTTGGCAATTCCTATTTGGCGCTGCGGGCGCCGGTTTATACCCTTTTTCGCTAATTGGCGCCTGCATCAGTTACCCCGCGTCTTAGTCGGGCCGGTACATATTGTATTTTTCCTATTTTTTATAAACACACGAGATAAACGGCAAAAAAGGCGCACAATCTATGGTTCAAACCCGCGTCGCGGGCCATCTAACCAACTCGACCACCGCAGGAGTTCTGATCACATACATGTTTTCATTCATTTTTTTATTCCTCCTTTTACTTTTTTTTTTACTTTTTTCTCTATCCTTTTCTACTTTCTTTTTCAAATTTGTAATTGTTTTGTTCAAATGGATGAATTTCTTTTCTAAATCCATGGACTGAATTTTTCGAAACTCATGAACTTTTTCTCAAATTGATGAACCTTTTTCAAAATTGAGGAACTTATTTTTAAAATTTGACGAGCCTTTTCATTTTTTTTGAACTTTTTCTCAAAATGGATGAACTTTTTTTCAAAATCGATGAACTTTTTTAAATTCAATGATTTTTTTAAAATCGATGAACTTCTTTTGAATTCGTGCACTTCTTTTTTGCATGCTCATGAACTTCATCTGTAATATGTGAATATGTTTTCAAATAATTAGAAAATATAGAAGCTACAGTGTAATGCGCAATAAATTGCACGCCTACGTTTCTATTCTTGAAAAACTTCATCGATCCCGCGCGCTCACGCTTTCAACGAGCAAGCCAAACCAATTGACCAACCAGGTTCTGGTGATTCTCTACAGCGTGAAACTTCTAAAGATAGAAATGTAGACGCACTATTAATTTTGCATTATACTGTAGTGTTTAGATTTTCCAATTATTTGAAAACATGTGCACATATTACAAATGAAGTTCGTGCACATGCAAAAAAGGTTCGCATATTAAAAAAAAGTTCACCCAATCAAAAAGTTCATGTATTCAAAAATAAGTTCACAAATTCAAAAGAGTTCATTGATTTTCAAAAAATTGTTCATCAAACAATGAAAGTAGTTCATCGATTTGAATAAAAAAAGTTCATCTAAATTGGAAAAAGTTCGTCAATTTTGATAAAAAGTTCATCAATTTTTTTTAAACTTCATCGATATTGAGAAGAAGTTCAAAAAAAGAAAAAGTTCATCAAATTTGAAAAATAAGTTCATCGATTTTGAAAAAAGGTTCATCAATTTGAAAAAAGTTCACGAGTTCCGAAAAAATCAGTTCATGGATTTTGAAAAGAAGTTCATCTATTCGAAGAAACAACTGCGAATTTGAAAAAAGAAAGAAGAAAAGGACAGAGAAAAAAGAAGGAAAAAAGGAAAAAGAGAAAGGAAGAAATAGACAAAAGCGTGTATGTTGAGACAACCAGAGAGGTGGTCGGGTTGGCTTGCCCTCGATCCCTGATAACCAGCGACGCTGGGTTCGAATCCTAGGCTCGCAAAGAGTTTTTGCAGTTTTCTCTTAGTTTTTAGAAAACAGATAAAATGACAGATGGGGCGGCCAGCGAGTAGCTGCTGCAGGCGCCGGTTAGAAAAAAACAGTACAAACCGGTTAGCAAAAAACAGTACAAACCGGCGCCTGCAGCGTCAAATAGGAATTGCCCAATAGGAGGTCCCCGAATTTTGTGACCAGAACCAGCGCGAGGGACTTCGGGAGTAGCTGGCCTCGCGGACCAAAACGATGCTTCCTTAAAGATACTAGTAGTTCAATTTCAGATCTGTCTACACTGAAAGAATGAGATGTTCAATCTCAAACTTACAAAGAGACTGCAAGAACAGATGTTCAACCTCAAACTTAAAACAGACAGGCTCTTAATTAAACATGCAATTACAGGATCAAGAACATGTATCATTTATTGTAATAGATACTCATCAGTGCGTCATCTTCATCACATCAATGTCATATCTTGCCTGACTTGGTTGTGCCTGCACCGCACCATTGACAAACATCAACTACGATTTGAGCATCCGCAAAGTGTTCAACACCAGTCACGAGATTCCAGGTCTTCACATTGCAGACTTAAGCTTCTTTGAAGGACGAGTTGCAAGCTTGTGGTTGTCCCATGGCATCCCTTCAAAAAAATAAAATTAACATACATATGTACACCATCTGAGCATCTGACTATGTTGTTTGCGAGCAGCATTGACAGATAAGAAAATTGCCAAACCAAGTGATTTGTTTGCTGGTTAAAAATTCACTTTCAATAATGACCTACACAATAATAGTTCAAAAAAAGAAAAGAAATAGACAAACAAGAAACAAAGATGGCATTGGAGTAGGGGTACATTGATAGACATAACAGTTTCACCCTAGATACTGATGTAAGCGTAATGGCATCATATACTTGATGTGGTATTCCGATGGTAATGGCATATGCCATTCATACGTAGAGAATGGGTTTTCACTGGTCCAGTATCCAGTTACACGATATAAAAAGTACTCCCTCCATCTACTGATACAAGGCCACTTCATTTCTTTATGTCTAACTTTGACCATTAATTTTGCCAGCAAAATGTAGTCATATATCATAAAAGTATGTCAATGGATGCACACTATCCGAAATAAACGGATTCTAACAGAAACAGACAAAGATGTGACCTCATTGATCCAAAGAAGCACATTCTAAAGCTTTTACCAACAGAAAATAATGTGTTAAAGGTTCATATGTGTATCATCTAAAGGTAAGAAATTTGCTCCGATATAGAAACTGGAGGAGCATCAATTTTATGCTTTACAAGAGCGATCACTCTAGTGCGGCTCCTAGAATTCACTTGAAAATAGCATACCAAAATATTATATTAGCAAAGGATTCAACAAATAGAACTAGAGAATTCTAGACTAGCAAAGACAATTGATGGCAGAAGGGCCACTGGTAGTGGTATACAGTGTAGAGCACCTATACAACTGGACCGGCTAAAACTAGAAAATCTTCAACAGCCCAAGACAAGATTCATGGTAACAAATATATTCAAAGATTCAATTGTTAAGCTACTAAGCGTGTACCAAAATTAAGTCACGGTTCAGTTACCCTTCAAAATCATACAACTAATCAGGCAGCACATGTATTGCATCATAGGTAAGATAAATAAGCGAAAACCAACATCCATATCCAACAGAAAGCTAAGCAAAGGCAATCATGTTACGTAATGCAGTACTATGCAAGAAGGTACTACATACCAAGAGAGCTTACCTGTTGGCCTTTCAATGTGTTTGGAGAAGACAGTTGGAAGTAGGGGCATATCAAGAAACTCGTTTTTGTGAGCCTTCTCATCCACAGACTGTCGATTGATATATGGAGTAGACGACCGCAGACGTGCATGCTCCATGTCAATCATGACCATGGAGGCCTCACCATGAAATTCCTCCTTCCTTAAGAGGCAGCACAGAACATCCGGGTCATCTGCGCTGATGATAGGGAACTCGGGAAGACGGTGAGGATTTGGCAAAAGACCATCCAGGTAGATCACACGATGTGGCTCCCACTTGAACCTGGAGTTACCATCCATCATGTTCAAAGTCCAAATGGTGATTTTTTTGCGAGGCTGCTGCCCTTGCGAGCCAGTGTGGATTCTCTCATGGAAGTCATTGTCAATGTGGACGAAGCACATCTTGCCGTTGCTGATGGACACGCTTCGGAATCTGTCTGGGAAGCACCTTTGAACCCGTACCTTAGCAGGGTACTCTCCTTCTCCAGGGAAAGGGACGAAGTGGAGCACCCGGGAGCGCAGATTGGAGAAGTCGGATAGCAGGACACCGCTGAAGTAGTCAACCCAGCACAGGAAACGGCTGTCAAAAGCAAGCACATGGTCGGTTGACCAGAGGGTGGGGAACTGGCCATTGCTCTGGTCCTGGGGCTGCGGAGCATCCTTGCTGAAGAAGCTCCACGCCCGTGTATTGGAGTTGAAGACGCAGAGTTCGGCGCACATGGAATTATTACCAGTGCCCTCCTTTTTTGGGTAGACATTGAGGTCGGAAACGATGTAGCTGCCGTTTTGGCGCCGCAGGATGCCTGTGGTGAAGTTAACCCTGAGGAATGACCTTCTCCTGTACAGAGGGAGCTGCTGCACCGAGGGGGGGTGACCAGCGGCATTGTAGACGAACAGATCTGGCGGGACGAAGTTGCGGTGAGGCAGGCTCGGGATGGAGATGTGGAAGAGGACGAGGTCCTTGTCGATTGCCCGGACGAAGGGATAGGCAGGCTGCTTGTAGGGGGGCACGGATTTGGCTGAGCCTTCCAGCGGCCAGTGGAGATCAAGGTAAGAGGCCCCTTGTGGAGGAGGCGCGAGGGTGAAGGACACGTAGAAGGAGTGGCCGCTGTCCATCTCGACTTGAACGGCGGTCTTGTTCCCGTTGACAGCCTCACGAGCAGCTCCTAGGTCGCCGTCGCAGTGGGTGCGGCCGATGCGATCCAGCATCACCCAACCGGGGAAGACGACGGTCTCCTCCTCCGCCCTCAACCTATCGGAGAACATGACGGCCACCTCCTCCGGCTCTGGCTCGCCTGCGATGACCATGGCGATCGGGCGGGATCGGGAATAAAGCAGCCGCCGCCTCCCTAACCCTAACCCTAGGTTCTTGGTGGGGGGAGGAACTGGGATGAGACAAAGGGGGGAGGAACTGATGGGTGATGGACGGGAAACAAGGGTGACAGGCTCAAGTTTTACTAGCAGGACCAAGCCTGGCCAAATGGGCCGATCTTAGCTTGCCGGCCTGATAGCCCGCGTGCCCGGCACGTGGCCCGCCTGGGCCGCGAGGCTGGGCACAAACGCCGGCACGGCATGGCCCATTTAGGTTTTTTTCTATTTATTTTGAAATACGGGATTTTTTTTGAGGTAATAAACCTGCTAGTGCGCTACGTATCTATATACTACTATTAAAAGAGCAAACATAAACTCCTCTAAAGCTACACAACAAATTGTACACAGCATAACCAGGACCCTCCGATCAAATAAACTCAAACACATCCTGCCGCCCATGTTATGTTAATGGTCTGACATCTAGATCAACGTCTCCGATCAAATGTTCTACCAAGCAGACGCAGTCGTCTACCACAATCGTCCAAGCTCGCATCCCTCTAATCTGCGTGGTCCTCCCTGATCTGCGGAACGCAGTTAGTGCGTGACACGAGATCTCCTTAACAACCGAAGTTTTCCTTTTTTTTTCTCTCTCCACCTCTTTCTCCAAAAAAAAAAAATTGCTCCCTCCCCTCAGTCCCTCCGGCAGACCTCTCTTCACGGCCTCATTGCCCGTCGTCGCGCCGCTCGTCGCTGCCGCCTCCCCACGCGACGGAGGCCATCTCTCCCTTATTTCCCAAGTGTGCGGCAGATGACGGAAAGGACGGCCACCAACTATGTCTTCTTCCTCGCCCCGCCCCGCCTCACCCAACGCCGCCTCATCTCCCGTATACTGGTTATTAACATTTATATTTATTGAGACGTGTGTTGCACATGCAAACTTACTAGTAGAATAGAGGGAGTCGTGCGTGTATCCTTCACCGAGCAGTTGTAATTATTGCTGATCTTATGGAATCAAATCAATGTCCTTAAACAGATACCATGTTTAGCATGGGTTAGTTGTAACAAACCATACGTGCATATTTTGAGAATAAGGAAATCGTGGCACATAATACATCATAGCACGCATGCCGGGTGCGGAACGTAAGGTGGCTCGATGGGTCAGTAGTGCCTCGGCGTGCCAAATAGGCCTTGTCATGGTTTTGTCACGGCAGATGTCCTAGTGTGAGGACTTCATCGTGAGGCCATCACAACCGGGTGATTAGTTTGTCGGGGTTGATCGGAATCGAGAGACACGGGTTACCCAGGTTCGGCCCCTCACGGTCGAGGTAATAGCGTACTTCCTGCTTGTTTGCTTATTGCTTGGGATCAATTACAAGGGAGCGGATTCGCTTGACCTAGCTATTGATCGATTGTAACTTAGTCTATCTAACTCAGGGACTCGCCTTTATATACAGGTCGAGGCCCTAGGTTTACAAGAGTTTGAGTCATCTTATGACCTATGACCTATTATGCTTTTTTCTTATCTTATCCCCTAAGTAAGGTAACTCCTGGCGACTTGTACTTCAGGGCTACGAGCCGCCATCTTCGGATGCTGGGCCCTAAGTCGGCCCACTCTTCAAGGCTTCATCTTTAGGTTTGGCAATTATTTTCTCTTTTTGAATTGTCTGTAGATCCATGATTATAGGTGCTTTGATAGAAGCTTGTTGGTCCCATACTTAACAAAAAACTTATCAATCTCCCACTTAGTTAAAACACATTTATGTTGTTGGTGGCTCATCATTGTAATTGTAACCCGCCAAATATTTAGAAACTACCTCTGTTGTCAAGCTGGCTCACCCATTGGGCGACTCATCCGTCATTAATGATTATGTCATCTTATCTTTAACCACAACTAGTAGTGCCATCTCATCACATAGTTGATGTGGCGAGTTATCGCTTCTTAAGTAACTCGCCTTTCATATTTATGCAGTTCTTAATCCTTTTTTAGGCGACTCGGCATGCCAAAAACCACAATTTGTAACTGGGTGCCTTCCCAAGTTTCCCAGCCCGTGCTCAATGATTATAAAGAGCAAGGCCTTCTGCCGGCTCAAGAAGAGATTGACTAGCGAGCCGCCCAAGGAGATGATGTTCCTCAACCCGGCGAAGGAGAAGTTGTGGTCTTTACAGACCATCTCCTTAGAGGCTTTTCTCCACCCTGGTCAAAATTCTTCAGGGACTTCTTAAATTACTTTAGCCTTCATCCTCAAGATCCTGCCCCCAACTCCATATCCAACATGTGTCAATTTCAAGTCTTTTGTGAGGCGTATCTGCAAATGGATCCCATTGGTCCTCTCTTCAAGGAATTTTTCTATATCAAACGTCAGACCGAGTTTCTTGATGACCCCAACCTAGAGCTTGGCGGGGTCTCCATCCAGAGGCAGAGAGACGGTTCCTTTCCTCCAGTCTGATTATAGGAGTTGCAGGACAAGATCAGGATCGTCAACATCCAACCTCTTCTATGGGGTTGAGGGGCAGATTGTTGAGTAAACCCCGTCTCCAAGCAACCATGAAGTCAAAGAAAGAGGGATTATCCCTGCCGCACGTGGCAGGATAAGATGACCAGGTTGTTTCAGGGGGCCCCGGCAAGTGTTGGGGGCCTCATGGGCCAAGGGGGGTGGCGGGGTCTCCATCCAGAGGCAGAGAGACGGTTCCTTTCCTCCAGTCTGATTATAGGAGCTGCAGGACAAGATCAGGATCATCAACATCCAACCTCTTCTATGGGGTTGAGGGGCAGATTGTTGAGTAAATCTCATCTCCAAGCAACCACAAAGTCAAAGAAAGAGGGATTATCCCTTCCGCGTGTGGTTGGAAGCCTAAGAAAGGGGGTAAGCACTCGTAGACAATTAGCAAACTATTGTGAACATCACGCGTTTGTCTCTTGTGTTGAACCCCAAAAGGTCTATGAGGCGCTCGAAGATTCAGATTGGCTCAATGCCATGCATGAAGAACTCAACAACTTCAAGTACAACAAGGTGTGGAGATTGGTGCCAAGGCCGTCCGGGAACCACAACGTCATTGGAACCAAGTGGATTTTCAAGAACAAGCAAGATGCTCATGGGAACATCATTCACAACAAGGCAAGATTGGTAGCACAAGGCTACTCCCAAGTCGAGGGTATCGACTACAGTGAAACCTTTGCTCCCGTTGCTCGCCTTGAATCCATTCATTTGTTGATTGCTTATGCTTCCCATCACAACTTTAAGTTACAACAAATGGATGTGAAGAGTGCTTTTCTTAATGTTCCTATTAATGAGTTGGTCTATGTCAAGCAACCCCCCGGGTTCGAGGATCCCTACTTCCCGGATCATGTGTATCAACACGATAAGGCACTCTATGGCCTTAAACAAGCCCCACGTGCATGGTATGACCGAGTTGTTACAAGATCGTGGATTCGAAGTTGGGCAAATCAATCCCACTCTTTTTACTAAGAAGGTCAAAGGGGAGTTGTTTGTATGCCAACTATATGTTGATGACATTATCTTTGGTTCCCCTAACAATGCTTTCAATGAGGAATTTGCCGCTCTCATGACCTCTAAGTTCAAGATGTCTTCGATGGGAGAGTTGAAGCTCTTCCTTGGTTTTGATATCAAACAAAGAAGAGAAGGTACCTTCATCAACCAAGCCAAATACACTCAAGACATGCTAAAAAGATTCAAGCTAAGTGATGTCAAGCCGACTTCTACTCCAATGCATACCAAGTGCCAACTTGACATTGATCCCAATGGTAAAGTGGTGGATCAAAAGGTATATCGATCCATGATTGGATCTTTTCTTTACCTTTGTGCATCTAGACCAGATATCATGTTGAGTGTGGGAATTTGTGCATGGTTTCAAGCCGCACCGAAGGAAAGCCACTATGTGGCGGTTAAGCGAATCTTTCGATATTTGGCTCATACCCCAAACTTTGGCTTATGGTACCCAAGAGGAGCAAACTTCAATCTTGAAGGATATACGATTCCGATTGGGCGGGAGACAAAGTGGATAGGAAGTCCACTTCCGGAGGGTGCCAAATTCTTGGTTGCTCCTTGGTGAGTTGGTCTTCCAAGAAGCAAAGTTGTGTGTCTCTCTCGTCCACCGAAGCGGAATATGTGGCGACCGGTAGTTGTTGTGCA